TCAACTGGATTCGTGCCATTGCAACGCTGCTGGATTTTAATTGACTCAATCACGTTTTTATCAAAGTGCGTGATTTACTAATAAACGTGGTGGACCTCGCACGTAGTTACACAACTCGCACAATGATAAAAGAGTGACAATTATACTAATAATACACAAATAAATGCATAGCGATTATCACTGGCGCAAAGCAAGTACTATGTTACGTCCTATTGCTCGATAGAAGTGAGTGAATTTGAAATAAATATTATAAATTGACATAAAATGTCTTTACCCGGGGCACCATGTTTACTATGAACAATATGTAATAAAATAAATATAAATAATGATAAAAATAAGTCTCACCTTAATTTGGTTCGTCATCTAATAACTAATAAATTATAGGAAGGAAAATATATGTCAGGTAGGAGTGTAACTTATGTAAATAATTAATTAAGATTGATATTTAACTGACAGTTTAATTAACGAAAGAACAAAAACAAAACTAGTATTTAGCAAGCATAAAAAACCTCAGTCTCATGTGGGGAAAAAACCATTTAGATACCAACAAATTAATACAAACTAAATTACACATTCATTAATTATCGCTAATAAAACACAACAAAAAGTTATTGGAACACTAATAATAGTTTAGGCTTGATGAGCCTTCACACAGATATACACAGACGTTAAATGGTCATTCAGTAGGATTCGCTTATCAGCTCGATGCGCTATGTGCGCAAGGTATGAGAGGGAGAGTGCCCCCAGTCAGCAAAGGTACGACACAGCTCCGACGTTTCAGACACGGGTACATCCCTTACTACGTCGCCGCCTGAGATGGATAAACGGGCAGAACTGCCGCAACGTTAGAGACACTTCAGAGAATATAACGTATCCTCAGCTAAGAACACAGGCTAGCCTGCCCTTAGCCCCTAACGCCACTAGTCACAGTCCGCTTTGCGAAATCTTACACACTCGCAAACGCACAACTAAAACTTAGGCGTTCTGCACGGGTGAATATGACGAACGCAGTCGCACACACAAGGTACAGTACGAGAGAGTAGTTAATGAAAGTACCGAACTTGTCGATTTTCCGCAAGAAACTGTTTCCGCGTCCTCCACTTTTCCAGTAGGAAGACGAGAGCCATCATTCTACTTTCCAAGGCCCATTCGCGGGGTCCAATCGGCAGTTCGGGAGGGCGGTGCAACGCCAGTTTACGCGTTGAGCGTTGAGCGTACCTTCAGCTTTTCCCGTATGTACCGAACTAACAAATAAGCGGTTTAACTAACACATGGTTTTTATGGTCTCTCGAGGGTTGCTTAGGTTTTCGGTCATCAGGTTTCTCTTTCCTCTTTTTTTTCGAGTGTTGTTTTGCACAACAGTTGAGCACGGTTTCGACACAAGGCGCGCAAAGAACAAAACATGTTCTTCCACAGATGTGCAGATTAGGAACTACATATTTTCAATATAAGAAGCGCGAATGGTGCGAACAGTTACCCTGTATTTCGGTCGAACTAGAATCATGTTTATCGTACTAGTTTGGTATTCGCTGATGAGAAAATATTATTTTTATGATGTATTAGTTTAGCCCATGTACCAAAGAGCTTAATTGAGGCGTGCGTATTGTAGTGTCCCGCTAATCAGGTTGAGCCCGTATCGCGTTTTTTTCATCGTCATTCGAAATCGAGAAATGTTATGGTGGTATGTTGCGTATACGCAGTAAGGCAACTAAGCAAGAGAAACAGTCATTTTAGTTTTTAAAAATTTTTTTAATCGTTCAGCACTAATGGGATTTTATAAATATCTCGGTAACTAAGGGACGAGGTATTTTTTTACAATAGATCCGTAACGAGCAAATGACATTTCCGTAACCCAATCACATTTGTAATTCATCATTCTAAAATATCACATTCCTTTATTGCCAAGAATTTGTTAAAAAACCTGCTTGTGTTTAATCATTTTTACGAAATTCTTATTTTGGTAACGACTACTCATTTCGCTTATCTGAGGATGTCAATCGATTACGTCAATTCCAATTATACAGGCAAAAAATTGTATAATACATAAAAATTTAGCAATAATAAATTAATAATTGTTTTACACTATAGGGTATGTAATATAACCTGATAAGCTTACACGGTTTTCTGCTAATGCGGCATATGTAAAGGATCAACGTGCAGTAATTTGTGCATTTATCAATTTTAAATATTAAAATAAAATTTTTCCACATTTCACTAAAAATTTGAGGGATTTAGAAGTCACTGGTGAGCAAGTTTAAGTCTCACGTTCGTTGTACTCGTATAATTAATAAATCTTGTTGATAACATTAATTAGGTCAGTCTAATCATTGTTATTACCAAAATTTATTAATTAAGTGTTATTAATAAAACTGCTTAAGCTGAACGATTTTTACAATATTTTTTTGGTAACTTTTACTGTTTTCGCCAATCAAAAGAATAATTATTTTACGCTATGAGTATCGATTGTACGATTTACTATGCATTCAACACACAGGATCAACGCTCACCCTGTCGTGAATTTGTAAATGTTCGATATTGAAACGGAGTGATCAGGATTTTGAATACATGGTCGTAAATACAGTACCGCTCAATGACATTTGCCACCCTGTTGACTAAAAACCCGACACTTTAAAGTTTTATATCTCGACTTAAGGTAATTGTAAAAAATCCTATGGTTACTCATTTTGTAAGGTTTTTTAGTATCTATCAAGTGGAATAAACTACATGTCTGTTTTTTAATTTTATTTCCAAAACTATGACGTCAGAGGTAAGACATGAAATTGATTTTTTTGCCAACTTTCATGCGATATAATTTAAAGGAAAGTGATGGGAGATAAAATCTGTCTTTACCATTTGAGAGCTTGTCCTAGATGCTACAAAATCTATATCCGAGAAATTTATTTTCATACGATTGTTTTGAGCTATATCGTATTTTATTAAAAAATACTCGGAAAATATGTTATGACGGTAAACGTCCGGTTTGTGCTACTGTCTCGATCGCGCGGCTGCCTGTGAGGGCAACACCTATCGGCCGAGGGAAGTTGAAAACGGGAACTCGGTCCGAAATGGAAAGGAACGCGCGCGAAGAGAAAATGACCAATGGGAGAGCGCCTTTGACACCGGTAACAACGTGCAGGAGTCGAGGAGTAACGCGAGGTTGAGTAGTAGCGAGAGTTCGAGAAGTACCTCTAGCACCGATAGCCGAGCGTGTGTATGCGGCAGTTATATCAAGGTGCGTGAATACTAGACTGCCAATAGTTTTTGTTGTTGCTGCGGTCTGGAGTGGTTAGCTGAAACGCCATCGTAGGCCAGCCATGAAGTTGCTGAATCTGTTTGACGGGAGCAGCAGGACGACAGAGAAAGCCTCGTTTTCGATTTGGAAAAGCGGCAACCTGAGCCACGTGTTTAAGAGGTGACGCTGAATTGCTCCCCCTGACAGCGCGACTAATCGTATAAGGTAAGCTGGCCAGCTTTGCGTTATGATTTTTGCTAAACGACCGCGCGTATTGTCGTACCTCTCCCCTCACGTATGCGAACGTAAGGAAATCGGTAGCGAGCGAGCATGCAAGCGAGTAATATGAACGAGCGACTGTAAACGAAATGACGGTGCGTAAGATTGTCGCGCACATTGTATAGACGTAAATGCGCGGGCCAAATGCGTGTAGATTATATAGTGAATAAACTAGTCTGTGTATGATTGAAACATTAATTTACTGTTGTCTTTGTTATTAGTAAGTTGGTTGACTGATATCTGTTCTTCCCCACTCCTCGGTTGGTTAACAAAAATTGATTATTTCGATCTCGCGCGCATTCCGGTACGACTGCGCATTAGGCGAGAAAAAGAAATTAATACGGAACTCATATCCCGTTACAATGTTCTTTACAAAAAACCTCTAAAGAAAAAAATTGTTACATTTTATTAAAAAAAAAACCATTTACAAACTTATAAAACGACAAAAATTTTTTTTCATTAAACTTCAGTAATGGTTCTTAATTTTACATTACAGTGACTATTTAAAATGTAAAAATTATCTATAATTCTATAACTTTGTTAATTAAAAATTTATTTTATAAACAATTGTTAGTTGAAAATTTGTATCAAAGAATTATACAAATAAATAGAAATATCTGCAGTTAAAAATTCATTTTTATACATCTCATTTTTTATTTACCTTAATAATTAAGTTTTCAATGTTTTTTTTGAATGTAAAAAAATCCAAACTAAAAAAAAGAAAAAAAATTTTTTGTCGTTTTATAAGTTTATAAATGGTCTTTTTTTTTATTAAAATGCAACAATTTTTTTGTTTAGAGTTTTTTTTGTAAATAGCATATTTTCCGAGTATTTTTGATATAGATTTAGCTCAAAACAATCGTATGAAAAAAAATTTCTCGGATATAGATTTTGTAGCATCTAGGACAAGCTCTCAAATGGTAAAGACAGATTTTATCTCCCATCACTTTCCTTTAAATTATATCGCATGAAAGTTGGCAAAAAAATCGATTTCATTTCTTACCTCTGACGTCATAGTTTTGGAAATAAAATTAAAAAACAGACATGTAGTTTAGTCCACTTGATAGATACTAGAAAACTTTACAAAATGAGTACCCATAGGGTTTTTTACAATTACCCTAAGTCTAGATATAAAACTTTAAAGTGTCGGATGTTTAGTCAAGAGGGTGGCAAATGTCATTGAGCGGTACTATACAGGTCTGAAAACTTCCGTGATGGTAGATGTTCCTTACGTTACGTTTACATGGTAGGTCCGAAGCATGATAGCCAATTTAAGTAATAAAATAATAGTAAAATTAACTGAAATTATTTGAAATAATTTAATATGGTTGTTTTATACTGCGCTTCTATTTATATTATTTTTTACAGTATTAAGGAAATAAGCGTAAATTTATTATGAAATTTGTATTTTATTTTCTTTATAATCATACAAAGATTTATTTGTTAAGATCTTAATGTTTATATAATTAACTACTTGTATATTTTTCAGTTTGCCTGCGTTTACAAGTGAATCCAATTAATTCAGTATACTTTGATGAAATCGGTCCAGAAAGAGGATTTGCAGAGTTTTTATTTGCACATGTTATATTACATCTTGTAATAATGAATTTTATTGGTTGATTATATAATAAAGTTGTGTTTGAGAAAAATATTCCTCTTACTTTATTTTATTTTATTGATTCGATAATACATTATTTAATATGAAGTATGAGATCATTCTATGTTATTATCAATATTTCATATAAAAATTAATGTTACTGTGAATTACAAATTATCGTAATTATAAGTCTTAGGTAGTGAGCTTTAGTCTCAAGCACAACTGCGTTATTTGAAATTTTTAACAGTTGGCTAAACAGGTGAATATCCAACTGTCTGTAACGATTTCAATACCGATCAACGTGCAGGTTGGATGAATGTGGATTAAAGAATGACACGGCCTATACCAGTTTCGTAAGAGTAAGTAAAGTTCTAGACAATAACGGGAATCGCTGCACATACGATTATTTATTTTATTTTGAGATTAACCAACTGCGTACATTACCTAACATCTAACTCCTGTATATTTCCAAGCACTCTCTTAACTCTTCGTCGTTAACGATTCATCAAGTTTCGTAGCAAATGAATGGCGGTTATGTTTGAAGTGCGTGTAAGAAACCTATTGTACAAAGAAAGGTTCGTTCATCTGAAGCCCTTACTCTTATTCCTATAGTTATTTACGAGGGGGGGGGGCTCAATAAGTCTTTATAAAATCCAAGAGATGGCACTCGTCACGATTAAATTATGATATTTTTGGCAAGCAATACTACTAACTAAATATTCTACAAAGTTTCAGCTTGATTCATTAAGTCGTTTTTTTGTGACCGTTGGTTGAACAACAAGTTATTGGTTTATTTGAAAAATGGAAAAAACAGAGTTTCGAGCGGTATTATGCTCCTGTGTTTAAGACTGTTTATAACTGGGTAAATGAATTTAAACGCGACCGTACAACAACAAAAGATGAACCTCGTTCAGGACGCCCCGTAGAAGTGAGTACGCTCGAAATGGTCAACAACATCCACGATATGTTGTTGAGTGATAGAAGATTAAAATTGCGAGAATTACTTGAGGCCACAGGGGTATCAAAGGGTACAATCATTTCAATTTTGCATGAAAAATTGGGAATGAAAAAAATATCAGCACGATGGGTGCCGCGTTTGTTCACTGTTGAAAACAAACGAACTCGCGTGGTCACCTCTGAGGCTCTTTTGGCACGCATACGTCGTAATCCGGAAGACTTTTGGCGTCGACTCGTAACTGTAGACGAAACATGAGTACACCACTACACTCCTGAAAGCAAAGAACAGTCCAAACAATGGATTACCGCATGAGAACCAGCCCCAAAGAAGGCAAAGACAGTAAAGTCATCTGGCAAGATTATAACCACGGTTTTCTGGGATGCGTATGGAATCATCTACATCGATTACTTGAAAAAGGGCCAGACGATCACTGGATAATATTATGCGTCATTATTAGGTTAGCTGAAAGAAAATATCAGAGAAAAACGTCCTCACTTGAACACAAAAAAATGCCTCTTGCTTCAAGGCAATGCTCGAGTTCACACGTGTGCAGTTTCGATGGCAAAAATTAACAATTCAAAGTTTGAATTAATTGACCATCCACCATATTCGCCTGATTTGGCTCCCAGTGACTTTTTGTTATTTCCTAATTTCAAAAAATGGCTTGCCGGACCACGATTCACGTCGAATGAAGAAGCCATCGCCGAAACAAATGCCTATTTTGAGGGTTTTCAGAAATCATATTTTGCTGATGGCTTAAAAAAACTGGAAGACCGTTTAACCTTTTAAGGACGGGACTGGTCGATATATCGACCACCAATTTTGTCAGGCACTCCACGTGACATATTCTTTCATTTTATGCACAAATATTGTGCAAAAAAAAAGTCAAATTTTAACGTAAAAATCCTCGTCCTTAAAAGGTTAATAAAATGTATCAACCTTCAAGGAGATTATGTTGAAAAATAAAAAAAAATTACACACGCAAAACTTTTTTTTCCTTTTTTTTGTAGACTTATTGACCCTTCCTCGTACATACGTAGCCTTATCATCAATAATGTGTTCATTGTTTATACTTTATGTCAAAAAATATTTTATATAAAAAAATATTGAAGTGAGAGGTGGTTATCGATTAAGTGTAGTGTTGAAATTTTTGCTTATAATGATTTTGCTCATCGAAAAATCTTACTGTCATCCCCATAGTCAACTTTTTACGTTACTTGAGCGCAATTATATCCAAAAATATAAAAATAAGCGGTTAATATTTTTAATTTGAATTAAAGGGCATATGATTTGAAACAAATTTGACTCATCGGATGTCTTTGCACGCATCCTTATAGCCGTTTATATAGGTAATCGTAGCGTCGATACCATGTTTATGATTTATACTTTTATTGTATATGAAAATATCAAAATGAGCGACAGTCATTTTTCAAATGACTTAAAATTCTGTCGTTTAAAAAAAGTTTCATTCGTCTGATTCGTGCATCCATCCTTATATCCGTTTTTACATACGTTGCCTTAGCGCTAATAAGGTGTTTATTCTTTATACTGATTTTATATCAGAAAATATCAAAATGAGTAGTGGTTATCTCTCAAGTATGGTGTCAGAGCAATTGCTTAAAAAAGGTTTTAGTTGTCGAAAACCCTTGCACCTATTCCTATAGACGTTTATATAAGTTTCCTCAGCGCCAGTAATGTATTTATTGTTTACAAATATTCTGCCGCACTCTACGGCAGCGTGCCTTCGTTCATTTGGATAAACGCACGGGGGTACGTTACAAGGCAAGTCTGAGAGAAATCTATTAGAAGGATTAAACGCCGTGTTCTCGGGTAATCGCAAACACTCCGCCGTCGCATCGCGCATTTGCGGATGAAAGGAAAGGGAGAGGGAAACCTGACCAGAAGGAGACTACCGGCTATAGCCAATGTTGATGCGGCTCGATGTTAAGGTCTTACTCCGCTCTCAACGTGGCAACATATTGATGGTCCCTTTTGGTTTCCGCTTGCTCAACTGCGCTCTCTGCCGTCACAGTCGACACTGCCGATCGAATCGCGCGTTTTTTCTCTCCCCTACCGCGTGCGTGGCGGCTCATACAACGCCGCTGGCTTCGCTCTAGCGAGCGGATCGTCGCAGGTCGCCCGCGCTCGCTCCCTCACTTCAGGTGACGCATCGGCTCTGTGTCTCGCTTCCCGCCGCTGCCACTCTCGTTTCCGATTTGCTCCTGTTGAAGATGCCGGCCACAGGTAGTGGTCCTGAAACAAAGCTTTGCGAGTATCAGTAATGGTTCTTAATTTTCATTACGCTCGCCATGACCACAGCGAAGGATCAAGTCGACAGAGAAAGAGAGGGAGAGAGAGAGAGAGAGAGAGAAGAGAGCCAGACAGGGCCAGCCAACTCGGCCGTGGTTCCGTCACAACATAATTGCTGTATTATATTGATATTTTATTTTTAAAGTTTTTGAAATTACCTGTAACTAGTCAATACAATGAATCTCTAACATAAGCATCGTTTAAAACGTTAATAAATAAAATGTACGAAAATAGGCTTCAGGTTACAGGCTAATTGGAAAGATATTTTCAGTATGCTAGCAGAAAATGACCATTTTGAATACGAGGGGCCCAGTGAAAACTAACTTGGAAAGCTTACGAGATCTGTCCGGAAAGTATCGGACCTACGTTTATATCTTCGCGCCATAGTGTTCGAGCGACCTCTACCGGATAGAAACGTCAACAGAAAAGCCTCACGAATCTATTGGTTACTTACTGACACCTGTCGGACGTATAGTTCATGCGCAGCGTGTCTTTGTTTACATGCCTTTTTCGCGTTCGTCGGATTTTGATATTGTGAAAAATGACTGAAAAACAAGATCAACGAATTTGCATCAAATTTTGCTTTCAACTCGAAAAAACGAGTTCGGAAACTATTGAAATAATGCAAAAGGCCTTCGGAAACGAGTGTATGAGCAAAACACGAATAAAAGAGTGGTATAAACGGTTCAAGGATGGTCGTACTTCTGTCGATCGTGATTCTCGTTCCGGCTGACCTTCGATGACAAAAACTGCAGATAATATTGAGTGGGTGCGACTTGCAATCGAACAAGATCGTCGTAAGACTGTGCGAGAACTAGAAGAAGACCTTGGGATACCAAAAACTCATTTCAGAAATTTTAACCGAAAATTTAGGAATGAAACGCGGGTGTGCGAAATTCATCCCAAAATTGCTCACAGCAGAGCAGAAGAACATTCGCTTAGAAATCGCTCTGGACAATCTGGAAATGGTCAATAATGATGATAATGTGCTTAGAAAAGTTATTACAGGTGATGAATCATGGGTTTATGGTTATGATCCTGAAACAAAACAACAATCTTCACAGTGGAAGCATCTGAATCGCCAAGACCAAAAAAAGCACGTCAAAGTCGGAGCAATGTTAAGTCAATGTTGATTCTTTTGTTGTAAATCGTGATCCTGCTAGAGACAAACAATGACTGACTAATGATACAATTCTATGATCTCTATTCTCATCAATCTAGAAAAGAACACCCGAAATACCTCTCTCGGAAGCATCGCTTTGAACAATGAATTCTCTATTTGGCAAGACATAATTCAAACATACTGTTTTCATAAAGTTTTGCTTCAGTTGTTCAAAAGCTCCCGAGTGAGTTTCCCTCCAGACCTATGGAGAATCCTTTTTTAACAAATCGCGAAATGGATCTATAAAACTGCTGTAAAATAAACAAAATCTACGATAAAAACTACCAACACCTAAAAATGATTGCAAATGCCTATGAGAGCGGGGTTGCTCGAAGTTTTGAATCGTTGAAAGCTTTTTCGGATCAGGAGCTATCCCTCTCACTGAAATCTAACATCCCAAGGATATTATTGATTTTCGAAAGAATTTACATTTTTTCAAGTTTATCGTAAAATTATATTCGATAAGCTTATTCAAAAGCTCTTCTAAGACTTGCAGGTGCTCGTCAAAATTAGGACTCCCAATTAATAAATCATGTATGTACTTTCGCAAAGATTTCTGTTATCTCCCCGAACAATACTGTATTGCCAATTGTAAGGCTTTAATCAACGCGCTACC